TTTACTTAAAAGCAATAATGCAGCACAATATTGTCAATACATTCTCTGACAGGCTGTCTCTTGTTCACTGGCAGGGCGTTGCCGTGGAAACGCTTTGATCTTTGAACACACCTGTCGGTCGTTAACTAAATCCAGTGGTAATCTAAAGATGTTCAGAAACGATGCTGGAATGTGCTACAAGAATCCAAAAATGTAATAGATAAACAGTTGAAATAGTCAGCTAAAAGTGAGCTAAAATGAATGGCTATTCTTTGTTGTACCTTAACAATACAACTAATGCTATTAATACTTACTCAGCGGGGGTAATGTTAGCATCGGGACGCGCATCCAAGGTTCAGTCACACAGTCAACATTTCTCTGAATTTTCTAGTTCCATTTATTCTTTTCTTTAAAACCATTAAACAATGTGCTCTCTACGGCGCTTTGTGTCATTAACTGGTGTCAACATTTGACAAAATCACATATACACACATATGTTTTCAAGATAATACCTTATTATCTCAATAAAATGCCTGAAACAAATATATGTTAAAAAAGGTCAACTTATTATAGCCCTTGCTTTCACCGGCCGGTCGAGTCCCCTTGGCATGTCAGTCAAAGAGTTATTAGGGGACACTGCATTTTACAGAAACCTCTAACAGTTGAGTTAATACAAAATGTAAACCCACTTTTGCTATAATTTGTTTTTGTTATTAAACATGTCTTTAGCCGCGCCATTAGTCAGCACCGGACACTGGTGTAATGTATTTCTTTGATTCTAACTGGTCAAATGAATGCCCGGCTTCAAATGATCCATTGTGGCGCTAAAGACCAACACTATATCAGGATTGTCTAATGTTTGTGTCCTCAGTTCGGACAGAAGATCAAGAAGAAGTTATAGCTCATAAACACTCTCTCGTCTCAAACTTTCTACTCATTGGCCTATCTCCATTTCTCTCTTATCATGTGCTGTCTCTCTCTCTGTGTCCTCTACAGTATCTATCACTCACCAGTTTCCTTCCTTTAATAGACAACAATCTTGTGTTCCCAAGTCTGAAGGAGGTTGTGTGTCTACAGCGGCAGTAAAAAAAACCTTCAGTATTTTTCCACATGTGCCACTAACAGCCTGCTGTACCCACATGTTCCCTGTACCCAGGAGCCCTGATTCTAAATGAACCTTTCAGCTTGTCCAACTCAATATAAAGACTTAAATGCACTATAAGGGAGACAAAGAAAAGTCTGGGTATTTAAGCTTGATTGATTTGTATTTCTTGTATAAAAATGCTCATATTTGCAATGTTTTAGAGAACAGTGTTTGTGTACTCTTTCTTGATATGGACCCTCCAAAGTAGAGTCTGTGTTCTACAGCCGTCTCAATCTGTTTGTTGCTTCACTCTCTGCTGTCTTGGCTCCTGTCTGTTTAATTGATGAACCTCTAAATGACCCCGAGTGTCGAGCACGCCTATCACTCTATAACTTTTCCATGTTCTCTTCCTCGGCCCATGCTGCGGATACCGGCTTGATTGAAATGTCCTTCTTCGTGGGAGCCAGAAGGAGTTGTTAAAGCAGACATGAATTAATGATTGAATTAATTATCGGAGTCACATACCGTACAATTAATTTTGTGGCTTTGCCTCAGTCTTTTTTCCTCTCCCCGTCTGTGCGCAGAGAATGTCAAGAAACATTTTCTAATTAATTTATGTGTGATTATCAGGGATAGTTCCTAGAAGGTCTCCACTTTCAATTTGTGACAGGCTACAGCAGAGGGAGAGGGGGGCTGGAAGAGATGGGAGTGGGGGTGTGAGGCAGCTGGGCTCGTGTCGTACGTGCACTCTCACACACACTTATTGAGTTGCGCACACGTGCATGTTTTTTGCTATTTTTTTCTTTTTCTCTGAGACAATAATTCCACTCTGTGTCCTCAAGTCATCACAGTGTTAGAAACTGTTGAGTTTTGAGCTTTATTCTACTAAACACAAAGAAACAGACAAACATTAGTCTTCCTTAACAAGATGCATGCTTCTTGTGCAGGGGATAATGCACTAAAAGACTGTAACTTTGGGAGAGTCCAACATTATTAGGATTTGAACATGGACAGTGAACGTTTACAAAGTGAAAGGTTCCAGCAATAGAAAGTACAGAATAGCCAAGGACCAGGGTGTCATTTTAAAGCCTGCTAGCGGCCCAGAGGCTGCACTGTTATAACTCTCCACAGCATAAAGAGACAGAAGAGGAGCTGCACATTTGTTAGTTTGTGAGTTTATAAGATATGTCCTGACATTGTAGATTTCAAAAAATCATGGGGTCGCGGTTTGATTTCAGCGGGCCACTGCCTCAGAGATTTATAAGCCAGGTGTCACTTCTGGATGACCAGCCACGGCATCAGCAATGTGAAAAGGCTTGCTGTAGTTCTGATTGAAGGCTTTTTCCATTGGTTGGAGAAACCAAATGAGGTATTGAGAGAATGGTGACGTCATGTACTAATATAGCCAGGTATCTCACTTCATGCAGGAAAAAGATGTGCGTTGCTCTTTCTGCATGGAATGCCAACTATTGTTTTAGTGTATTTCATAGATCATCATGAAAACATTGAATTCATTGTTCCATGTAACGTCAACCCCGTCTTCACTTCTGTGTGAAAAGGTATTCATCTATTCCTGACCAACAACTATTTTCATCATTGATTAAACAAACTAAAACCACTCCTGACCTATTTTTGAGACCCTGTCTTGAACAATTTCCCTGTGTCAATGTGCTTTCATTGTTTTAGATTGGTGTATATATGGTGTACATTACATTTCTTTAGTTACAACACTAAAGCCTTGTAGTATTCTAGCATTTGAAGACAGTGTAGGAGTCATATGCTTGGTCGTTGATGATTGTTTCTATTATTATCATTGGTTTACACCACAATTAGTCAATACCAATTGATTTTATCTCAATGCTTTTATCTGGTTAAATAAAGGTTAAATAAAAAATAAATAAAATACCGGAAATTGTCACCTGGGTGTGGTTTAATGTATTTAGTCCACCTGTTGTGTTTGTTGTGGAAAGAGAAAGAGGGTGATTTGGTTCAAATACTTTTAGTTGACTGTATGGTTCTACTCCTGTTATTGTTTGTTTGTTTTCTTTATTAAACATCGTGAATTTTAACCTCAGTACAGACTGCTATTGGGAACGAGTCACAACGATGGACCAAGTTTAGCCTCTTGAGCGACAAACATTTGTTGGATGTTTTTGTCGCTACAGACTAGGGCTGCACGATATTGGAAAAAACTGACATTGCGATTTTCTTTTCCGCAAACCATCCTTTCTTGAACTTTAATGCTATACAATTATTTATAACAATATTTAACCGGATGAAGGATTTTAGTCATGGACGTCTGGATCTTAAGTTATCAGAGCAACAAGCTGAGCTAGCTCGGTTAGCAGCGCCAAACTGCCCTGGAGAAACACATGAAACTACTTTATTCAGTGTTTTTACCTTTAATCACGGGGTCCGTTTGCTTTGGAGATTTGATTGTGATTGGTGGTTTGCTGTCACTCACTCAGGTAGCCCTGACATGAGCTGCGCGAGTTTTCCTTTTGTAGCAAGCAGCAAAAGAATTGTAACATGACGTGTTTGAGTTAATTTGCCTACTTAATATCGCACGTCCTAAAAAATAAATAAAATTAAAAAAAGATTAAAAAAAGAAATTAAAAAAATTGCACGTCCTGCGATGTGAATATTGCGCATATCGCGATTATCGTCACGACGCAATATATCGTGCAGCCCTACTACAGACAGTGTAATTACACAGAGTGGGACTAGTGGTGGCGCTTTTAACCACACTTCCAGCTTGTGCATGGGGTCATTAACATGGAATAAGTGTACCCTCTTGTGTATCAAGTTGTCATGTTGACCTGAGTGAGGGTGGCACATTTAGAACCACAATATTTGAACTGGGTGTTGGATGCACCCTCCATGTGTCTTGTGACCGGTTGGAAAACGATGGACTCAATTTCTCACGTGCTTGCAGAGACACATTTTGATG